TCCTGGATGATATTTTCCTTCCTCTGAACTGTAGTTTTATCAACTCAAGGCCTATTTATTCAAATAAATGATTGTGACTTGAGCCACAAACATACACATGCTTTATCCTATATACATTGAAAATATCAAATAATATCTATAGTTTCTTGTTTTGCTAATATAATTGGAAATCTGAGTAATTTTTTGTCTTTGAGTGTCTGGAAGATAACTTTTTCAAAGACCTTACCTTCTGTGATTTCTCATTAGTGACTAATGGGAACTCTTCATGTTTATCATACTTACATGTTTTGGGGAAACTCATGCTTCATTTCATGTTTTTTCCTTTCAAATGAGCATGGACAGCACACTGTACTTTTTTTCTAAAGGCTATTTACAAACCCTTAACTAATTTGTTGTTTCTTCTGAACACACTCCAATTTACTTGTATAGATTGCATCTCTTATCCAAAGTGTTTTGGACTGGATGTGTTTCAGAGCTCATATTGTTTAGATTTGGAAAATTGTGCATACATAATGAAACACATCCTGGTGATGGGATCCAAGTCTAAAGATAAACGCTATTTCATAAATACCTTATGCATGTGGCTTGATGATAATTTTATACAATATTTTTAGTGTGATCATGTTTTGACTGAAGTCCATCACATGAGGGCAAGTGTGGAATTTTTTCTTCGTGGCCTCATGTTACTGCTTAAAACATTTCAGTTTGGGGAGACTTTTGGAGTTTTGATTTTCAACCCGGGGATTCTCTATTTTAATAAACTTTAGTTGCCACATTCTGCCACATTACCTATGGTTCCAAGAATGCTACAGGAGGAATTTTGTAAATATGGACTCGTATAGCCTAGCACTAGTTGTCCCTACTAGAATCCCATCAGTTGCAGTGGTACAGATCATAGCATTTGTCTGTACTGATTTCATAAAACATTTTACTCTAACAAGGGAAGAAGGTAGAATTATCTTTGGTATGAATAGATCCAATCACTAATCTAAGCCCTCTCTATGTTCCTACAGCAAAATTTTGTTCAGCTTTTTCTTGAAATGAAATCAAATATTGGCTCTTAATAATTTATGATTCCCTTTGACTGAAGATCTTGAAATGAGTATAACATAGTCTGGAATTGGCATGTTTAGCATGAATTTCCCAGCCTTACATTTGACCATAGATTTTCCTGCTAGGAGTCAGCGAAGATACCACATTAATCTTTCTTTCTCTTAAGCTCAGGTGAGTTTTCTGTTAGCAATGATGCCACACTCTGAAGATAAAGTTGGACTTCTTTACTTGGAAGTATTCTTACAAACGTTCCAAAGCTCTGCTGTTAGACTCCCTGTGATCGACACCTGAGACAAATGGTCTAAAGGAAGTTTTATTTGGACTCACAACTTCAGAGATTTCATTCCATAATCAGCTGACTCTTGTCTCTGGGCTGCTGAAGCCAAGCAGCTCACTTCATGGTAGAGAGAAAAAAGAGAGGGGAGAAAATACATGGCATATGTTTCCAGAGAACGCCACCAACGACTAACTTCATTTAAGTGGGCTTTGCCTCCTAGTTTTCACTGCTTTTCAATAGTTCCACAATGCTATGAATCCATCAAGGGATTAGTCCACTGATTAAAAGTGAGTACTCAGAATCTGATTACTTCTCAAAAGTCCATCAGCTGGTAACCAAGCCCTGAGTACATGAGCCTGTGGGAAACATTTCATATTTATTTTTTAAATTTTTTATTTGTATGTGTGTGTTTGTGTCTGTGCATGTGCAAGTGCTTGTGAGTGTCCACTGAAGCCAGAAGATTGCATTTCCTGGTGCGGTAGTTACATGCTGCTGTAGAGTCCATTTGTGCTACTGAAACAAAATACCTAAAGTTGGATAATTTACAAACAACAGAAATTTATTTCTCACAGTTCTCCCAGCTGAGAAGTAAAAGATCAAGGGCTGGACTTGGAGTCTGGTGAGGGTCCAGTTCCTACTTTCACAATGGTATGAGAGAGAGGGAATGCTAGATCCTCACACAGAGGAAGGAAGGAAAGCAGAAAAGGGGCCTGATCGCCAATATCATTTCTTATTTACTATTTTTATCTTATGTGCATGCATGCATTGCCTGCATGTAGGTAAGTGCACTTGTGTCATGCAATGCCTGCGGAGGTCAGAAGAGGCTGTCGGATCCCCTGGGACTGGAGTCATGGACAGTTGTTAGGTGCCATGTGGGTGCTGGGATTCAAACCCGGGTCTTCTGCAAGAACAGCCAGTGCTGTTAACCACTGAGTCATCTCTCCAGCCCTGCCAATGTCACTTTTGAGGTCCCTAACCCCGTGAAGGCTCTGCACTGGTAGTTCATGTTCCAAGCACCGATCTCTTTTTTAAAAAAATTTACTGAATTTTTTGCAATTTTCATACAATATAATTTGATTGTATTTAGATTGCCCCTATCTGATAGCACCTCCTCTTACTGTCCAATTTAATGTACTCTATTATATAGATAGATAGATAGATGATAGATAGATAGATAGATAGATAGATAGACAGATAGATGATAGATAGGTTGATAGATAGAGAGATAAACAGATTAGATAGATAGATAGATAGATAGATAGATAGATAGATAGATAGATAGGGGCCTATGGAATCTAATTTGTGTCTCAAAATGTCCTTCAGTATGGGTTCATCCACTGGAGTCTGGTTAACCTATTAAAAGTCACATTCTTGAAAGAGACTAACTCTCCCCATTCCAGCAGTGATTGGCAGACAGTAGTTCCTTGGTAGGTTGGGGTTTCTTACCCACTTTCCTACATCTATGCTGGGATTTTATCTGGTTTGAGCTTTCATGGGGCTTGCACATGTTGTCATTACTGTGAGTTCATAAGAATAACTGACAAGCTGTCTGGAAAATGCTGTTTCCTTGTGGTCATCCATCACCTCTGACTTTTACAATCTTTCCTCCTACTCTTCTGCAATGATCTCTGAGCCTTGGGAGATACAAATTTTGTATAGGTGCCCTATTCAGTGATAAATGGTTTACAGTCTCTCGTTCTCTGCACATTGACCAGTTGTGGTTTTTGTGTTAGTTACCATCTGCTGCATAAATAAGCTTCTCTGGAAGCCCCCACCTCCTAACACTATCCCATTACTTGAACATGTGGACATAGTCAAACCAAAGCATTGTGAGTCACACTTGTTTTCTGTCGCCTTCAACATATGTACATAAACACAAACAAATACAATATTAATTTCTACTATGACAGATCTTCATCTGTATGGTTCATTAATATATTTTCAATTGCTGGCATCTAAAATATTACCAATAAACATTTGTAGAATAACAAAAGTGAAAGAAGGATGGACCAGAAAGAGAGAAAGGAAGAGAGGATGGAGAGGAGAGGGGAAGAACTGTTATTTGCCATATGTAGATGAAGAGATGGGAAGGACAGGGAGGGTTCAATGAAAGAGCTGGTGTCTCTACATGATTTCAAACTGGAGTTATGTGGGGCTTAGCACCAAGGAATACCATGTACAGAGAGAGTTCTAGACAAAGAAGTGGGAATCTGCCTTAAACACCATGTCAGAGAGCCTGGTTAAAGCTTTTAAGAAGTTGAGAAACATCATAATGTTTGCATTATATAAAAGTTACTCTGCCCTGTTGTGGACGGTGAATGGGGGAGAGCAGTGAGATAGTTAGGAAGCTAATTTTAATATAGTTAAGCCTGAATTACAATGGCATGAACTAGAGATGTGGCAATGCCCACAACAAGCAAGCACATTTCAAAAACATTTCACAGAATCAGCAAGAAATCTGTTGAAGGAGAGAAAGAAAAGACAGCAAGAAACTCTTTGCTGTGTCATGCCCGTCTACCAGTCTTCCCTGCACAGCCAGATGGTCAGCACAGATGAATGGCTTTGGTGAGGGGAGGGTGCTCTGAAAGCAACTCACCTGTGAGGTGGTTAAGTACCCCTCTTTTACATCCTCGCACCTCCTCTGTTTGGGATTCTTGTATTCAGAATAGCCTTCTTAGCATTCGTATGGCCGTCCAGTTCTTTAAGTTTCACCTCACAAAGTCTGATTCAACTTATAGACATTATGAAAAATAGACTCAAAGAACTTGTCGCATCAGAGAAGGAAAGAGATAGGAACAGATAATGTTATTGGTCAGGTTATGGAAATGAGGATTGATTCCACTTAAGACAAGCATTTTTTATACCAGCAGGAGTTCTCTGTCCCAGAAATATGCTATTGTAATATAAGTGGTCCACAAAGCTCATATGGCTGTAATGAGTTTGTATAAGATTCACCAAGGCTACAAAAATAGAAATATTAGCTTCATACTACCAATGCCAAATACAGTGATTTTATGCATCCCTTTCATATTTGACTTTGAGCACGTTTTTCAAACCATGTTTGCCTTTATAATATTGCCAAAGTACAAAATAATCTCTCAGGTCTAGTTCAACTTCAAAATAAAATTTCACTTTTCTTTACCTGTGGGCCAGAGTAAGTGATATGAATGTTTCACCCATGGAAAACCAGAGTTCAGAAAGAATTCCTTTTGGATGGATGTACACAGGAACCTGTTTCTCCTCAGCTACTGCTTCACCTAACTAATGGAATGCTGAAACAAACTACTCTTTAAAATACAAAATAATTTGACTTTAATGAATTTTTATTTTGCCAAGACAAAGAACAACAAAATTGTTTTTTTCTTTTTCTTTTTCTTTTTTTCTTTTGCTTTGGGCTATTTCAAAATAACAATAAAAAAGTGAATTTTGTAATAGAAATTTTGACCCAAACGTAACTGCTATGATAGTTAGGATAGATTGTCCTTGTTTTTTTTTAATAAATGAGAAAACAAACTAAATATTTATACAGTTATTTAAGTAAAGAAGATCATTTAGAAGACTGGAAAAAGAATACTACATGTGAAAACATATCAAATATCATTAGGTTGGAAAGTAGCATTTTTAAAAAAATACATGTTATAGAAGTATTTTTTTGTTTTTTGATTTTTTTTTTAATATGGAATGCTTCACGAATTTGTCTGTCATCCCTGTACAGGGGCCCTGTTAATCTTCTCTGTATCATTGCAAGCATTACATGTCATGTTTTTAAAACAAAAATCCAATCAAAGATTTCACATTAAAGAGCAAAAAAATGACAGAAACTAACCCAAATTCTAGCACCCCCCATCCCAGCAAAGTCCTGAGGCCTTCACTCCACTGTCAAGCACTAGCAATGACACAAAGGACCTCCTCCCCCATGTTTATTTTCCATAAGAAATGCCCTCCACTGTGGGAACCTCAGATTGGTGTTTAACTTGTGGGAAATGCCCAATGATATGACATGAGCCTCTCATGCTAGCAATAGCCAGGGCCTACCAGGGCCTCTGGCAGATCCTGCACTACCATCCACAGAGATGTGTGTTTCATGTCAGTCAAAAAGAGTTAGCATGCACTTGAAAGCAGATAGAAATTATGAAGTCTCACATAGCCAGTGGCTGAAATAGTAGTTCAAGCAAGAATGAAGTTGGGAAGTCAGGCTGTTCTCCTGCTCCTTATCTGGAGTACAGTGACATGTGGGGAAACAGTCCAAGTAGTTAGTAAGAACGCCTTACTATGTGCACATGGCACACCAGATCAAGAGGACTTCATGCAATGAAGGATGAAAATGAGTGGATCACTTCAATGTTTCCTCCATAAGGCCCAAATATAAATGATATTGGCAAATTCACAGCCTTCCAAGTGTTGCTTACAACAATAACAACAACAGCAACAAAAAGCCAAGCTTTATAGTCTAGAAACCACTTGGGAAACAAGCCCTGGCTGTGGGTTGGCCACTCTGTAGAGACCTGGGTGAACTGTGTTTCTGGGTACACTTTGATACTCTGCTTGTCTTTTCCTCTGTGTTCATGGAGAAAGGAAGATGATTCTGTAAGGAAAAAAAAATCACTCTGCAATCTAAACAAGAGGAGGAGGGATAGGAGGAGGAGTTGCCATCACCACCTCTTTTCCTTTCCTCTGAGTGTTTGGTTTTGTTACTTCTTTAAATAAAATGCATATATCATTATTTCTTGATTTATCAACATTAGATGAGTCCCTGACTTTTGGTCATAGTTGATAAAAATGTAAATGGTTACACATCACATTGTTCTTCACCCTCCTATGGCTGTCACTACAACCTCCCATGACATTCTTTCACCTCCGTTGCTCTTCTGTTACCATTGGTTCCATTCTACAGCACTCAGACCCCCATCTTTCTCCACCCTTCCCACTCTTACAATTTTTATTGATGCTATTTTTAAATTTCATGTTTGTTCTTATAAACCTGTAGAGTCTGACCTATGATGATGATGTATCCAGTGTTAATTCTAAAAGAAAAAATAACTTTAAACAAAGCTCAAATAATTACTTTTATGCAAATCTGGTTCACACAATAGGTAATAATATGACAATATTTTAAAAATAACTCTATGGGTTCCAACATCAGGATCACTATGATCTTGGAATCCAGCTGGAAGTAGTCCCTAGTCCTCATTCTTGTACTTTTTTTATTTACATGTGAATATTTCCATGGCAAAAGAATCTGAACTGTTGCCAACTTATGCAATTACACAAAGGCAGTGCATACAGCAGAACCTTGGGGGCTAGTCTCCATACGTGTTATCCTGTCCAGTGATTACCAGCCACATGTAGCAAACAAACATCAAAATGTGGTTAGTATCACTGAAGAACTGAATCTTTAATTTCATTTCATTTTTATTGATTTGAATTGAAATAACCACAGATGTCTAAAGGTATTATATTAGACAATACAATGTGGATCAAAATTGTGATTAAATTCTCCAAGTTGAAAATACATTTTTTATCCACAGTTCTCTTGATATATATTTGTCTTTTTGAGATTGGGTAGTCCTGTCACCCCAGCTGTTCTGAACTTACTATGTAGACCAGGCTGGCCTTGAACTCAGAGAGATTAGCCTGCCTTTGCCTCCCTAGAGCTGGGGTTAAAGGAATGTACCACCATGCCCAGTCGTTTTTAAAAAGATTTTAAAAAATATATGCATATGATAACCTCATTCACCCTCCCAGCTCCCCCACTCCATCTCTCTTCCTAGCATGGTCACTGGCCCATTTCTTTTCTTGGCACTCCAGACCTCTGGACTACCCTCTTGGCACAGACTCCCCACTACTTCCTGATCCTTTTCACACAGACCAACCCAATTCCACAGCCTAGTCCCCTGGAGCTCTCAAAGCCTGTTCCCTCCCCTATCTCACCTTTGCATACCTGAGACCACCCTTCATCCTTGGCTATCCCTTCCCCAACCTGAACTCCTGAGACCAGCCTCCTTCCCTTCCCTGACTGCTTGAGAGTCCTGAATTTTACTTCTACTGACCAATTCTCCAAAATTATACTGTGCCTGCTGCAGCCTAGAGTAATCCAGACCTTAGGAGAAAGCCTGAGAGCAGCTGATCCTCATCTGACTTGGGAGTTCAGAATTCATGAGCAGCAGGATTAAAGCCATCTGGCCCCTCCAATATAAAATCAAAAGAGAGAACCTGAAGCCTAGAACAACAAGCTTTTCATGCTCAACAAGTAAACCACAAAGACACATAAAGTTTACAAATAGCAGCAGACCTAAACTCAACAAAGGAAGGCTTGAGTCTCACACAAGAATCAGAAACTACAAAAGAAATCCACATGTCAAACTTACAGCAAAAAAATAATAACATAAAAAACCCAAATAATATACCCCCACCCCACCAAATACCAACAGTCCTCTAGAGGAGTACAATGAGAACCCCCTAGAGATAACACAGGACATGGAATTCAACAGAACAATTATAAACATGATAAAAGAATTCAGTGAATTTAAAGAACACACAAACAAAGAAATAAAAGAACTGAAAGAAGATGGGGATAAACTTCTGAATGAACTCAGAAAAGGGTTAGAAATATTGAAGAATACTCAGGCTGAAATGAAGAAGGAAGTGAAATACTCAATATACCAATTAGAAACGACAGGAGAAAGCCTCACCAATAGGATGAATGAAAAGGAAAACAGAGTATCAAGACTGGAAGATATAGTGGACAAATTAGACCACTCAAGCAAATATTATGAAAAATTTAAGAAAAAACAAAAATGGAGTATATAGGAATTGTGTGACACCATAAAAAGCCCAAACTTATGCATCATAGGCATAGAGGAAGGAGAAGAATCTCAGGATAATGACATGGACCAGATCTTCAACAGGATTGTAGAAGAAAATTTCCCACAATTAAAGAAAGATGTCCCCATACAAATACAAGAAGCATATAGAACATCAAATAGATAGGACCAGAAAAGAAACTCTCACAGCACATCATAGTAAAAACACTAAACATTCGGAACAAAAAGACAATACTGAAAGCTGCAAAAGAAAAACAAGTCGCATATAAAGGAAAACCCATCAGGATTACAGCTGACTATTCAGTGCAAACTATGAAAGCCAGAATAGCCTGGACCAAAGTATTCCCAGTTCTAAATGACCACAGATGCCAACCCAGATTACTATACCCAGCCAAAATGTCTATTATAGTCAAAGGGGAAAGAAAAATCGTCCATGACATAAGCAGCCTGAAAGAATTCATGTCCACAAAACCAGCCCTTCAGAGAGTTTTTGAAGTAATAACAAAGGGCTGAAGAAAGGAACAACTATACACAAGGGGTAGCAGAAGGAAACTTAATGCAGATATAACTGGAAAAACACAGTTACACCAAGAATGCAACTAGAAACTAAAATGACAGGAATCAATATACATCTTTTATTAATAACTTTAAATATCAATGGCCTGAACTCCCCAATCAAAAAACACAGACTAGTTGAATGGATTAAGAAACAAAACCATCTTTTTGTTGTCTACAAGAAACCCATCTCACTTTCAAGGACAGGCACTATCTTAAGGTGAAAGAATGGAAAAAAATATTCGAAGCAAATGGTACTAAGAAAAAAGCAGGAGTTGCTATTCTAATATCTGACAAAATAGACTTCAAACTAAAACTAATCAGAAGAGATAAAGAGGACCACTTCATTCTGATCAAAGGAACAATTGACCAAGAAGATATTACAGTCATGAACATATGTTCACCAAACTCTGGTGCACCCAACTTCATAGAAACAGTACTACAAGACATTAAGACCCAGATTAATCCCAACTCATTAGTAGTAGGGGATTTCAATACTTCATTGTCTCCATTAGATAGGTCAACAGGACAGAGAATTAACAGAGAGACATTTGAATTAAACAATACCACAAATCAAATGGACCTAACAGACATCTACCAAATATTCCACCCAAGCACAAAACAATATACTTTCTATTCAGTGCCCCATGGATTTGTCTTTCCAAAATTGACCACATACTGGGGCACAAAACAAGGCTCAACAAATACACACAGATTGAAATAATTCCATGCATTCTATCAGACCACAGTGCAATAAAGCTTACAATCAACACTAGAAGAAGCCAAAATCACCACACGAACGCTTGGAAATTAAACAACACACTCCTGAATGATGAATGGGTCAAAGGTCAAAGGAGAAATTAAGAAAGAAATAAAAGTATTCCTGGAACTAAATGAAAAGGACAATACAACACAACAAAACCTCTGGGACCTGTTGAAAGCAGTCCTTAGAGAATAGTTTATAGCTCTAAGTGACTGCATTAAAAATTCAGAAAGAACACAAATAAATGACTTTACATTACAATTCAAGACATTTGAAAAGCAACAAAAAATGAAACCCAAACCCAGCAGACAAGAAATAACAAAAATCAGAGCAGAAATTAATGAAATAGAAACAAAGAAAAAAATACAAAGAATCAACGAATCCAAGAGGTGGTCCTTTGAAAAGATAAACAAGATTGACAGACCCATAGCCCAGTTAACCAAAAGTAAGAAACAGCACCTCCAAACAACAAAATCAGATATGGAAGGGGAAACATCACAACAGCCATCAAAAAGATCCAGAACATTGTAAGGGATACTTTAAAAACCTATACACTACTAAATTTGAAAACCTAAATGAAATGGACAGGTGCCTAAAAGCATGGGAATCACCAAAACTAAACCAAAAAGAGAT